CAACGTCAGAACCAATTTCAAACACTTTTATAAATTCCTTTCTTTGTTGTTGGTTAGTATGAGGATACTAATACATACATAATACAATACATAATGTGTATGTAACAAAACATGAATTCTGAATGGGACTCTTATTATAAGAAATCTTTCTGTGGCCAGCCCCAGTGGCCTAGTGGTTAAGTTTGGCATGTTCCGCTTCAGCAGCCCAGGTTCAGTTCCTGGGCGTGGACCTACACCACTCGTCTGTCAGTGGCCATGTTGTGGTGACGGCTCACACACAAAAAGAGGAAGATTGGCAGTGGATGTTAGCTCAGGGTGAATCTTCCTTAGCAAAAAAAAAAAAAGAAAGAAAGAAAGAAATCCTTCTGATCATGTGCATGACAATTTACAAATTTGAGTAGGCACTGTGTTCCTCACCAACCCAGGAAACCGATGAAGCAGATAGGTAATCTTTTTAAATGTTGTATAGTTTGGGTCTTATCATGGATATTGTTTAATATTTTTCTATTTCAAGGATCTACAGAAAGTATATGCCTAGGGCCAGCCCAGTGCCATAGTGGTTAAGTTCTTGCGCTCTGCTTTGGCGGCCCAGGGTTCGCTGGTTCGGATGCCAGGTGCAGACCTACACACTGCTCATCAAGACATACTGTGCTGGTGGCCCACATACAAAATAGAGGAAGACTGGCACAAATGTTAGCTCAGGGCCAATCTTCCTCACAAAAAAAAAAAAAAAGAAAGAAAGTATATCTCTTTAGTTTGGAGCTGACTGCTATATTCCCTTATTATTTATCTCAGATATCTCTCTCAGTATTACCTAAAGATCTTATAAGGCCAGTCAACTTTAATTTGTCATACATTACTTGCAGTGCTATAAATTATTCTGGAGATATTCTGAATATATCCTGGATATAGCCTGAAAATTATTTATAAATCTCTAGTGAAGTTCAAGTGAACAAGTTCTCTGGAGAACTTTACATTTTATTTGCTAACATAAAAGCAGATTAATTGAATGATGTTGATATCATTAGACATTCTTAGGCACCCACAGTGAGATGCTGCACATATAAAGACATTATTCTGTCCCACAGCTTGCAATCTAAAATTAGATATACACAGGCAAGCCAGATAAACATAGGCAGCACATTTTTTAAGACCAAAAAGAAATGATGGGAGAGAAAAATGAGAACAGTGAATCAAAAAGTCAAAGGGAATTGAGAAATACTCTATCTTCTGCCTTTTATCTGTAGCCTTAATTACGTCTATCAGAAGAGATTATACTGTTAAAGTCAAGGAGAGAGGCTTGAAGGGTGACAGAACATTAATGGGATTGCCATTGTATAGTGTCCTCAGCTTTGGAGGTCCAGAAACTCGTTTCATCTTGTATGTCCCTGCTTGCCTGACTCTGGGTACTAAACGTGTGCTACCTCCAAGCTCAGCACTGGAAATGAGCACCCAGCCAGTATGTTAGGAAATACTCCCTCCAGTATCATGTGAAGTTTGGAAGTAGCGCCCTGCAGCAGGCCAAGCTGTCTGGACTTGAACACAGTCCTAGGTGCCCACGTGAACTTCAGGTTGAGATCTCCCTATTAACCACCATCCTGTGTAGTCAGTTCATAAGCCTGGCTGACCTTTGCCCTGAGGTTAGGTTTAAAAAGAAAGCATTCAATGTGCCAGGCTTCATGCTCCCTGGTAGGAATACAGATAAATAGAACATAGGCTCTCTTTTGGAGCTTACAACTTATTTTGGGAGACAAGTTATAAACAGACTATTTTATATAATGTGGTAAATGTAGTGGTAGACGGGTGGTCAGGGTAAAGCCCAAAGGAAGGGTACCCAGCCCGATCTGGTGGTCAGGGAAGGGTGACAGAGACGAGGAACAGTCTGAGAGCTGGGCAGAATCAGCAGAGTTGTAACCCAGAAGCCAAGAGAGTGTGCTAAAAAAAGAGAGGGAGGAAAACAGGGTCAGATTCTGCAGACGTCGAGCAAAATGGTCCTGAAGAATGTCCGTTGGATCTGGCAAATAGAAGAGGGTCATTGGCAACTGCTGACAGTGCAGTTTCAGCGGAGGTGGAGATAGAGAAGTCATATCATAGCGGGGTGAGGAATGAAACAGAGACAAGAAATAAAAATAAAAAGTTTGGCTAGGAAGAGAGAGTGAATCAGAGAGGAACATGTCATTAAGAGAAAGTTTGTTTTGATTTTTGATCAGAAAGACAGATTTCTAATCTGAGAGAAAGGAGCTGGTTGGAGATAAAGTAAAAGAGGTGATTGATGGATCCAGGGAACAGGTTCTTGGTTCCAGTTCCAGATCCCACTCCTGTTTCCTGAGGTAGGCTCTGACTCCCTCTCCTGATTCTGCTAGCTCCCTCCCCTCAGGGATGAACTTTACTTCTAGTCTGTCTTGCACATACTCAATTGTACATGCCTAAAATGTGACAATGATATCCACTCAATGTCAAGAACCACAGCTGCATAGCAGTCCTGATGACCAACTTCCTTCCCAAAGTATTTATTAACCTACAAAGAGCTGATATACCTTTTCCAGTGACTAGACTACTTCTGTCTACCATCCAGGGCATCCATTCCTGTGTGAAGGTACTCTAGAGGCTCAACTATTAATCGGACTTATCAACTGGGAAGTTCCTTGTTCAAAATGAATTCATAACAAAGAGAAGTATGTTGAGGGTTATTTAATCCAGGCTCTAGTGAAACCTGAAAGTAAGCACTTTCTAGTGGCTGGAGTACGGAAACCCACCCTAGACAGTGCTTGCCAAACTCTTGCTCTCTCACAAAATTTTCTAGACTCCAAGCAGATCATCTTTTTTTACCTTTGTTATTTACAATCATATTTTAGTCAGGTCCACCAGAAACCGTACCCTCATCTTCCTGTACCAGAAATATATGTAAAAGTCCCTGGATAGATCATCTTAGTAATTCAGCAGTTTTGGGTAGTTTTAACTCTTGGTGTAATCTAATTTCCAAGTTATTGGAGGTGATCTCAGTTCATCTTCTTTATCGAGTACAGTTCTTTTATCCCTGTTTGGTTTTTCACATTGTCTCTGTTCAGTAATTTAACGAAAATACTAAAATGAAGTCATGTTTTCTTTTAGAGTACAATAATGGAATTTACATCCTCGTTTTTTCAAGAAAACAAATTTAGAATCTAATAGAAAATTGTCTATTAGTCAGCCAGATAAAATGTTGGGATTGGATGTTTATTATACTGATTTTAATGCTTATATCTTATGATTACCAGAGAGCTCATCATAAGCCTCTTGAGGACAGAAATTTGTTTGTCATCTACCTTCCTTATTCACAGATACAGTTCTTTCCACTTGGTAGGCATTCAATAAATACTATATTGATGGATTGATTTTAATCACAGAATTCTAATAGATCGAATGGTGATTTATCATTTAGTAATACATGTGTCTTCCTTATGCACAGTCCTAAGTCTTGCTCTTTTGCCTAACAAAGCACATGAGGCAAATGTTTTTCAAAAATAACTTCTTCCCACCAAGATGGGGCAAAATAGCACTTCTGTGGGATTTTGCTGGTTTAAATTTTAATTGAGAATCAAGTATCCAGTCCACACCTCGCAGTATATTTGGCATGCATTAAAGTTTATTGAATTAAAGAATAAATTGGGCAATCATTTAACTTGAAACTGTCCTCTTAACAGTAAAATAAAATTACTACTACTTGCTCCGCCTCCCACACAAGATTGCTGTAGGGAACAAATGATAGGATGTTTATGCATGTGCTTTAAAAACTGTAACGCACGTCACTACTTTAAAGTGGGAATTTGCATGTTGACTTAACGTCATTTCTATTAACTAGTATTTTTTATGGCTATCAATTCATTAAATTTAGCATTCCTATTACAGCACAAAATTGTTCTAAACACTTGTAACACTGCGTTTAGTCTATTCCTAATTTTGCCTGTGGTGCCATGTACGACTGTGACAGACTCACGCTTTAAGGAAAAACATTTTTCTCGAGTTGTTTTCTACCTCAAAGAAATTTCTGGCAGAAATAGCACGAATCGATGATTCCAACCTAGCACCTTAACAGTGATCACGATACTTTAAAAAGTAAAGCAAAGACCTCAAAACAGCTTTCCCAAATTAAAGCTACTTGGACCAACGACAGCGCCCAGTGGAAAGACCGAGGAGAGTGTAGGGCTCGGACACCAGAGGACAAGGAGCCCAAAGAACCCCCCGCCTCTTTGAAGCACCGCGGGGCGGCGACCAGGGTCCAGCCCAGGACGGTTGGGGGTCCCCGAGCGGACGGCCAGGACCCGCGGCCAGTTGGGGTCAGCGAGCGCCGCGGCCGTTGGGGACTCCAGCTCCCAGCAGGCACCGCTCCTGCGGCGGACGCGCGTGGCGGCGCTGCCTGCTGGGACTCGTAGTGCAGTCCGGGTAGGAGAAAGCGGGAGCCAGCCCTGACTGCTTTCATGCACGTTTCGGAAACTAGACCTGGAAGGGATCACGCCGGCCCACTCGTGCCCCGCGTCCCGCGGGGGCGGGGACGAGCGGAGCAGAGCGCGCGGCGGCGGGAAAGCGGGAGCGCACGTGAGGGGTGGTCAGCGCCGAGGAACCCGGAAGCCCCGCGCGCCGCCCACCGCCGCGGTGACGGGTTAACGCTTCTCCGGGGTGGAGGTGGGGGCGGGGTGTGTGGCAGGAGGGGCCGTCCCACCCGACTCCTCCCGGAGCCGCGCGCGAGCCGCCCCGCCCTTCCCCCCACGGGCCCTACGCGGCGCGTGCGCAGAAGCCCCGCCCTCCGCCCCAGCCCCACCCCACTCCCGCAGCAGCCGCCGCCGCCGCCGCCTCTCTCTTCCTCTCTGCTCTTTCCTGCTCCTGTTTTCTCTTCCCTCCTCCCTCCTCGCCTCCTTTTCTCCTCCTCCTCCGGCGCTGACGCTCGCGTAGGGCCCTGGCGTCAGACGCGCGGGGGGCGGGGCGAGTGCGGCGGGGGGTATAAGTAGAGGGTGCAGGAGGCGGTGCTTCCCCTTCTCCCCGGCGGTTAGTGCTGAGAGTGCGGAGTGTGTGCTCCGGGTTCGGAACACACATTTATTATTAAAAAAATCCAAAAAAAATCTAAAAAAATCTTTTAAAAAACCCAAAAAAAATTTACAAAAAATCCGCGTCTCCCCCGCCGGAGACTTTTATTTTTTTTTCTTCCTCTTTTATAAAATAACCCGGTGAAGCAGCCGAGACCGACCCGCCCGCCCGCGGCCCCGCAGCAGCTCCAAGAAGGAACCGAGAGACCGAGGCCTTCCCGCTGCCCGAACCCGACACCGCCACCCTCGCTCCCCAGCCGGCAGCCGGCAGCCAGCAGCCAGCAGTCAGCGGCAGCGGATCGACGCCGTTCTGCGGCCGTTGAGTAGTTTTCGATTCCGGTTGATTTTTGTCCCTCTGCGCTTGCCCCCGCTCCCCTCCCCCCGGCTCCGGCCCCCGGCCCCAGCACTCGCTCTCCTCCCACGGAAAGGTCGCGGCCTGTGGCCCTGCGGGCAGCCGTGCCGAAATGAACCCCAGCGCCCCGAGCTACCCCATGGCCTCGCTTTACGTGGGGGACCTGCACCCCGACGTGACCGAGGCGATGCTCTACGAGAAGTTCAGCCCGGCCGGGCCCATCCTCTCCATCCGGGTCTGCAGGGACATGATCACCCGCCGCTCCTTGGGCTACGCGTATGTGAACTTCCAGCAGCCGGCGGACGGTGAGAGCCGGGCCCGGCGGGCGGGCGGGCGGCCGGC